CACAAAGTAGATTTGCACACCCGCAAAATCGGATCAAAACGACCAAAAACAGATTTCACAATAAGGTGTGAAATTAATTTTCTGACCAATGAAAGGAGGCGATTTGCTAAACCAAAAAAAAGATAACGAGCCAGTGTGAAAAAAAAAAGTCAACAATAAATACAGAGTTTTCAAGTCAGTCGCCAGTCAGTCAGTCAGAGAAGGGCGCAAAAGATCACAGAAGATTGACAGTAAATTTCATCACTGACTCAAACTTACACAAAGAGCCGAAAAGTGGAGTAGGAAGGAACAACAACAACAATAAATTTACAACTGACTTCAAAACAATTCATAAGTACATTTTCCTTTTATCTTTATTCCTCATTCACACTCTCTTTTATCAACTTAAATTGCTCGCCCATTTTTCATTTGCAACTATACAAATATATATTACTCTGCTACTCTGTTAAAAGACAACGAACACAGACATTTTTATCAAAATCACATTTTTGCTTAAACGAACTAAAACATTAATCTTTTTCACCCTATTCACAAGATAATAAATATACAATCGGGGAGACAGAACATAGCTGCAACAGGCAGGGTTTATTACGTTAGATGCTATCCTCCAGGAAAATGACTCGTTGCGTCATCTTGGGCTAACGTTCTCAGCTGACATGAAGTGGAAAGATTATATTGAATTCATTGCGAGATTAGCTGCTAAGAAAGTCGGTTCACTGTGCCGGGCGAGAGAATTTTTCTCTTCGGAATCTATCTTGCATATCTATAAGTCTACCATTCGCCCATGCTTAAAATATTGCTGCCATATAGGCATCCAAAGATGAATCAGAAATATTATTGGTCCTGATCTGGCGGCTCGGCTTCAGTCACTTGCCCACCTCCGTTAGGTGCCTTTTTTGTAAACCTAGACTGTTAATTTAAGCACAATACTAAACTGGTGGCGAAATCTCATCAATTTACAGTTGAGCTAGCTAGATATAGCCGTAAATTGTATGCTGACATTTTCTTTTCTCGCACTTCTCGTCTTCCAGCTTCATGCTTTCCAGTCAACTTTAATCTGCAAGAGGTTAAATGTAATGTCAATCGCTATCTACTGTCTTCCCAAATTCCTCTTTTCACTTTCTCCTCATTACTAATTTTTTCTGTTCTAATTCATCCGCACCCTGTAACCCCTTGGTTATTAGCGGCTGTACTGCCTTGCTTGGGGCGATACCGATTAAAAATGTTTTGGTTATATTTCGGTCCTTCTAATCGCTTTTTAAAACAATAAACATTTCCGAGTGAGTCATCGGTAATAGCGGTATCAAGGGAATAACCTTGTGACGATCTACATCACGTATATACATACATACAAACACAAATACAAATCATACAGCGACAAGCATTCATTGGATAATAAATCAACACTACTCGCTCGCTGATTGGTCAATGCCAACCAATCAGATTGTCTGCACGTGAAGAACAATTCTTCCCGCGTATCGATTCGGAGCCGATGAACACCTATATAAACAGGAAATATTCTTGGATAATCAGTGAGATTTCAGCTGTCAAACGAATCCACGAGAGTTGAAACCATGCGCCAATCTTCTCACTCACACCACCACTCACATGTTGAATATTCCTTACACTCACATAATCTTTTCCTTACACAGCAAAACTGTTGAAAACATTTATTACCAGAAACTATCACAAACTTTCTTTCAGTGAACTTTGGAATACAAATAATAGTTAAAGAGAGACAACTCTTGTTTTACCCAATGCATGTCTTCTTTCACATCCTTGTTTGTACATCTTGTTAAATACATATTTTATGTGTAATGATGTCTTTGGCTTATCCTTTTTCACCTCAGTTTGGTTTCCTAATCTAAATTAAATTAATGTGGTGAAGTCCACCACAACCTTTTTTTTGACATAGCGTTTTTTTACTTGTTTGTTTGTTTTTTCTTTTTGTTTTTGTTTTTTTTCAGACACAAAGGTTAAACATTGACTCTTTCAATACAATCTTCTTCATTGTCAGTCTAATTTAGAGTTCAATAGCAATAGAACGAACATTATACACCGAAATTTTCAGACGAAAATACAGCTATGTGTCAGGCTACGGGCATTGGTATTGTAGCGTACGTACCAAATATAGCGTCGGGTCGATTCACTAAATGTAGCAGGAACACCAAATATATAGGTATGGCTACTATTTATATTAATGATTCTTCCACGTACAGTATTCAAGAAATAATAACATCAACTCCAATTTGTTAACCAATAAATATATATTGAATAATATACAACAACAAGCATGAAATAAAATCGTATTCACAATGCAGATTAAAGAGAAGGAAGTTCTTTCCCTTTGACTGTAGATTGATTGTAATCAACCGTTTGAAGAAAGTTCTCTTGTGAGATAAATGTTCCAAAATAATTGTTAGAGCAAAGTTTGCACGCGAAGAATGAATAACACCAAGAATACAACTGCTTGAAATGTGTTGTGAATAAACTGGTTTGAATCAACAAAGTTCTGGTTGATTGTGCTTGGCGAAAGTTACAGAGAGAAAATGGAAGTTTGTAGTTACGATTCTGTGTCTGTGTGTGCGTTAGTGTGTGATGAGCAAGATCGTGGATTTGTGTTGACAGTTGGGATCTTATTGGATGTTACTGGCGACTTGCGAAAAGTCGCCCTATTTAAGGAAAAGAGGTAGGCTCTCGCGGGAAAACTTGATCTTACATTAAAAATATGTGATTGATTAAAAATTAACCAATCACTACACACGTACTAAACAAAATAGGTAAGTATGCTCAGAACCAAAAGATTCAAAGGAACGACTGTGATGGCTAAATTGTCCGATAGAAAGTTAGAAGTAATTTATTTAGCCAATCGAAGGCGAATAAAATGACTTGGAGTGTATGTGGTGTGAAAAACATAGCAACCGCTATAGTATATAGCGGAAATACGCATTTAAAAAGAAATCATATTTTTTTTAATAAAGGCCGTTTATCAGTTCGTTTGCGTCATTGAGAATATGTTTATGGTTTAGTTGGAAAACACGTAAAAATGGCATTGGAAAACATTTTAACACAGCCTCACTTTGGATATTTTAAAACCCTTAATGCTACACGATGCACATATGTGCGTTGTGTGGTAGTAGATGTTTTAATAGAGTTTTTTTTTTTTTTTTTGCTGATTGTGAAAAAGAAAAACATTATCAAGGAGAGAGAACAACAAAAGATCAGTAATTAAGACGACAAAAGATACCGAGTGACATTGCATTTAAATTTTTGAAGATCAAAGTTGACTGGAAAGCAAGAAGGCAGAAGAGAGATCTACAAGCGGACCGAGCAAGATACCAAAATGCTAGCATACAATTTACTGCTGCATCTAACAATTTCAACTGTAAAATGATGAGACCGTGCTGCCAGTTTAGTACTGCGCTTAAATTCGTGAAGTCGTGGTACCAAAGTGGAAAGCTCATCAGAATAATTACCAAGGGCACTTCGACGTGGTGTAATGGTTAGCATGCTTGTCTCGCTAGATCAATTACGACTGAATAGTGAGTTCGATCTTCACTGGGTGCCCCATACTTTCGGCCTTGTGCCACATCTAAGCTACGCTTAGAAAATCACCATAACAATTACCATATAAGAATATTTATAGAAAAGGCACAGGGAAACTACGTTACGGAGGTGAGAAAGTGACTGAAATCGAGATGCCAGGTCAGGGCCGATAACATTGCAGATTCTTTGAATTTTTATCAAGAATCTCTAAATACATAGCGACCGATGGAGCTGATTTGTTTGAAGTCACCAGCACATCTTTCCTTCAGTACGTGCTGAGAGAAAGGAAACAGCTATGTAGCCACGTCTTTGAACAGTTTGACTATATAGCTATATCTCTGCTCTTTGAAGGTCGAAATATGTGTGGTTTTAGGCTCGTGAAAATAGGATTTTAGTTTTCTCTGAGTGGTTATTTTACATATGGTGATGTTAACTTTCTAACCAATAACCTTTGATGTTTAAACAGTGTACTGCACTGTGGGATTTTTTTTTTTTGCATGTTTGTAATTATTGTCAGTTATTGGGTAGAAAATAAAGTTAAGCGTGTTTTGATATGGTATGTATATGCTATGAGTGTGTAATTATCTTGGAAATAGTGTTTTTTAGTTGTAGTCGGTGATCTTCGATCTGACGTGTCTTGTCCGACGACAGAAAAGGTGACTAATTTGCTAATCATAACCAAAGGACCGAAAAATAACTCATTTATTGTTATGTTACCGATTTGATAATTTTGATTTTTGATACAATCATTTTCTTTATAATCTTATCTCGTGTATTGTGAAATAAATCAACAAATATAGTAAATACATATCGGATATCCTGGCTGTCCTTCTTTCTTTCTTTATTTCTGTCTGTCTGTACGTGCAAGTACGTGTTTCTTATGAAATATGTTTCTTATTCTCACTTTAAGACTTAAATAAAAAACAAATTCATTAAAATTTAAAATTAAGTAAGTTTAAATTTTTATTTGCAATATATCTTATTATTTCCAGTAATGCTGTAATTTCGGTTTGACAAAAAAATCAAATGATATTTTAAAAGTTAGTAAATGAATTAAAAAAAATTAAACATTCATTTTGTTTGAATGATTGCATTTTCTTCAGACTCCTTGTTGTTAAAGTAAAGATTTGTTTAATTTAAAAATGATCGAAACGGAATCGATTTATTTTTAATTTCTGAATCAAATGTAGCTGTTAAAGATTAAATTTTATAATTTCATTTTTGGTAAAAACTAATTTCCAAACCATGATCAATTCAGTTGTTCAAAGTAATCTGAAAAATAAATCGAAATTTCAAATTTAAAGAAGAATGACGATTTTGTAAATGTTACTATGTTAAAATGACTCGGATTTGTTTTAATTGTCAAAATTTATTTACCATACACCGCTATCACGTGACCGGCAGTTAAGAAGCGCCCCCTACTCTTCATTCAATTCATTGTCCTCTTTGCCATCATGTCTGCCGGATCTATAGAGATCCCTCTCCGGGATACGGACGAGGTAATCCGCAATTTTAATATTTTTAAATGTTCAAACACACATTTTAGTCGATTATAGAAAGCTGGGATACTCTTGGTTAAACTGTAAATTTAAGAATAGACATTTTTTTTAATCATGTGCTCCATTTCTAGCTGGTTTTCTTTAGTTTTCGACGTTTCGTCTTATCTTCATGCTCTCGTTTTTATTTTACGGAAGTTGAGAAAGTTACAATATTTTCAACTGTTATTGGAATAAAAACAGAGTAAAAAAAATTAATCTCGGTCTTTCTTTATTATTTACTCTCTTATTTTGACGTCTGATTGGATTAATTAAATTTTCTGTCTGCGATCAATGACTTGAAGCTTAATCTCTCCCACATCGTTTTTTTCTTGGAATAAAAAAACAAATAAGATTGGCCGAAATTTGATGTCAACTAGATTATTAAACTAACTAAAAAAAGCTTTAAAAAGTAGCGATAATAAGAATTATTATAAAAGATGAAAATTGCGGTAGTGTTATTCAATTAATTTTGTTGTCCATAGTGTTGTCAATCTTGTTTGTCCATAGTTTTTTGAGTTTTGTTTGACTTTTTTATTTGATTACTGAACATACATCAAACAAAATTGAGTCAAAACTCAAAATTAATTAAAAAAAATATTTGATCTTTCATTTGTTTTTAAAATTATAATGCAATAGTTATTGTAATTTATTTATAAATAAATAAACTTGGTAAAAGTAGTAAATATTTGTTCAAGCAGCTTACAATGCTAATAATTCAAAAATCCTAGTAAATTTCCCCGATTTTTTGTGAGTTTTTTTTTTTCAAAACATTTATGTTCGTAGTCTTAATTTCTTTTTATTTCTTTCTTCACTACTTGGATAAAAATGATTCTCTTTTTAATTATCATGGAAAATGTAACAATTCATTTTGTTTGTGTCCTGTTTTTTTCTAAATTTTGTCTTAAAACGTGGTTTGAAAAACTTTGATTGTAAAACAAAAAGAAAAAAATAATAAAAATCTAGCGTGTGTGTTTATTGCAAAGTCATCGACTGTATATTTTGATATACTTTATGAAATTTACACAGACATTTTACATTATCATTGCAACAAAATAGAAAAGTTACTGAAATTTGAGTAAAGAATAGATAAAATTTTATTATGACCACGTGACACTCGTTACACACTCACAACTGCTTAACAAGTTGTCTGTGACTTTTTAATTTATTTTTTCACCTTTCTCCTCACAAAAAAAAAGAGATTAAAATCAAAATGCATTTTAAAAATGAAAAATCATTCTTGAAGCTTTTATTTATTTTTAATTACAACCAGGCTAATAAAAGTAAACTAAATTTATTTCCAATCCAATATAAGCAAAACTTTTTTTATTTCAAAAGTCAAAACGGATTTTTAAATTGATTGGAATTATTTTTATGATTATTTGTAAAATCGGTAAAAAAAAATCTTTCATATTGACAAATCTGTCAACACAGCATAATTTTCTTTATTTAAAAAAAAAATCTTTCAAAATTTTAAATATACTTTTCTGAAAACGTTATTTGAGAAAAATTAGCTAAAGTGTTTTAAATAATTAAATTACTGAATCGAAATAAATATTACGTACTTTAAAATATCGCATAAAAAAGCATTTTTTAACACGGAGGTGGGTTTTTTATGATGTGTTGACATTTGATCGGCAGCCGGATGTTTGTGTAATTTTATCTTAGGAGATAATCGACGTAAAATTGCATGACGAATACAACGTAAACGCTTTTTTAATAACTACCCAGTAATAATCTTAAAAGTTTTAAGTATTTTAAAATATTCTGATATTTCATTGATTTTTAGATACTTTGGCTTTACACGTTTATTGTTGAAAAATGTTAGAAAATTACGAATAAAGGGTTAATAAACCATAAAAATAACAATGAAATTGAAATGACAGCTATCACCAAACATGCGTACACATTTTCGATAATGAAAATAAAAACCGTTGCCCCACCCTGTAGTTTTTTAAAATTTACCAAAAATCAGGGAATTATCTTTTTTTTTCTTCTCAGTACTTATTCAATTCATTAATGAGTGAATTTTATGTTGAACAGCCTGGTCATTAAAAACGTATTGATGGGAGGTGGGGAATCAATTTCAAACCCCACCCCTATTTCAATGTATTTGTTTTTGTTTGTTTTTTTTTTCTTACAATCATATAAAGAAAAATCTCTAAAGATATTATTTCAGTAAAAAAAATAAAAATCAGCCATGAATATACTGAAAAAATATTCCTGGATCTTAGCAAAAATAATTTTTATTGAGAGTTGGTGTTTTTTGTTTTTTTTTTTTACCTAATAAAACTTATTTTCTTTCAGATGTGACGAGTGTAATAAATAAATAAAAAAAATCTCCATTCAATATTTATATCTTTAAAAGATGATTTTGAAATTCATCCAGTTGCTGTTTGTAATATTACATGAAAAAAGTTTATTTAATGCTTTCTTGAGTGAACATTTTTAAAAGATGTTTTTTCTGCAACTGTTAGATTAACTGCAAGAGCAAGCAATTAAAAAACAATATTTAAATAGTTTCCATCATTCCCCCTTTTTTTTGTAGCACTTTTTGTTTGATAAATTTTAAAATCAGAATAATTAAAAACCTCACCAAACTTTACGATGTCAAATAGTTATAAAAAATAAATGTAATGAGTGAGAATCAAAAGTATAAAAATGAAATTATTCATTCTACTATTTTATAAAATCTTGTAGAATAAAAAAAATTATATAAACTCCTGGCTATGATTTAAAATAATTTATTTTTAAACAGGCAATACCAGTTTCTAGTAGTTTTTTTTGATCCTTCATATTTAATTTAATAACAGTTTTTCCTGACGTTTTATTTAAAAGTAAGGGTGACAGTAAAAGACTATAATGATGTTGACTGATAAACTTGATGACAGCTCACAGACTACTGTGTGTTTTTCTTGTGGAAATTCATTTGGAATTTGTGATTTACTATTGAAATTATTTTTGTATCATGTCTTGCAATTTTTTAGTGATTCTTTTCCTATTTTTATTATTTACATCATTAGGTGATTGAGTTGGATCTTGATCAGCTACCTGATGGTGAAGAAGTTCTGAATATTCTGAGACAAGAAATTGCCCCATTAAATATTTGGGTCAATTTAGCGGTATGTATCATTTCTTTATGATCTTTTTATATTTCATGTTTAAAATTTGTTAAAAATCTTCACTCACTCTTTACATTTTTGTGATACTTAAACAAAAATTAAATGTTTTCAAAGAACAGTCTTTAATCAAAATCCTTTTGTTTTGTTTTGTTTTTTTTTTTAACTCTGAAGAAAACAATTTATCACATAAGAGCTTAAAATATAAATAAAAAAACAAATCAGCCCCCCCCCACCTAGTGTCATGGCTTTTCATTATTGATTTAACAAACATTTAAGACTGGTAACTGTATATTGGTGTCTGAGAGAAAAACCTTCAACATGTTAGTTTAAAAAAAAAAAAAAAAAAAGTCTTTCTCAAATGAACCCAGTAACCCATTTATGAACATTTTTTTTCCTTACACATATGATTTGTTTTCATGACTGCACCAGTTTTCATATGATTACCTGGTCAGTAACTAGAAGGGTAACTACTTGGATATGTGAGTAGTGTAATGGATAACAACTTGAAATTGGAGCGCTGAGTTTTAATTCCAGTTGGGTTTATTATATTCACTTACATGCAAATACCATTGGGAAAGGTATAAATCCATCTCTTCTTCCTCCAGCTATGGGTTAATTAGTAGGACTTGTATCAGTAAATCATTATCTTCAAAGAATTTTACAATCTAAAATATTTCCTGGTTTTAAATAAGCTGACAAAGGTTGAAGTTATAAAAAAAACAACCAACCAACCAATCATTCATTCAATCTTGATTACACCAGATCTGGTATGTTTCAATGAGAAAATTGTGTGGAACCAAATCTCTTGAACCAAATACCTTTTATTTGAAGTAGAGTTCATCCTTTTGAATCTATAGAGTTTTACCTGTTGGTGCCACATGCAGATTTGTACTCATCAAGGTATATCAAGATTATGTATCATCATTTTATGCTTATATTTTTTACTAACCTAACAGTAATAACTTAACCTAGTGGATTAGACTTCTCAACCAGTGTTATTTATATGTTAATTTTATTTATTGTAAAATTTCACAAATTAAAAAAAGATGCGATTCCTGCTCAGTCTGTGTTTTTTGTTTTTTTTTTTCACTTGCATTACAATTTCTATATGTTTTTTTATATTCTGTGCAGCTGGAATATTACAAACAAGGATGTATTGATGATTTTGTGAAAATTCTTGAAGCTTCTCGAGCTGATGCCAGTTATGACTACCCAAATTATGAAAAGGACCAAATGCGGGCACTGGACACTTTGGCTGCTTACTATGTCCAACAAGCCCACAAAGAAAAGAACAAAGAGAAAAAGAGGGAATTGTTTACTCAAGCCACTCTACTCTACACAACCGCTGACAAAGTTATCATGTATGACCAGGTTTGTATTGTTTGTTTGTTTGATAGAATAAAAGCGAGTGAAAAATGGATGGACATTACTTGGATTAGAATGGACATTAGGTACTATCACCTGTCTCAAAACAATTGTTGCATTTGCATAATTTTCTTTTACTTATTCTCAATACATAGGTTATCTATACGTGTCTGAACAACAACTTTGAGTTGTTCCATTTAAACCCAAGTTTAGTAATATTTTTCTTTTCTTTTTAAACAACAAGGGCTTCTCTAAAAGCAAAGATTTTTAAATTTCAAAATCACATCTGCTGTTATATTTTTGCTGATAATATCAACCATAGTTTGACATTTAAGAACCCACAAAGCAAAACTTAAAAATGGCAAATGATATTCAAAATGCTGTGTTACAGTATTTGTTACAGTGTTCTAAAAATAGAAAAAAAAACATTAATATCCAAACCACATCTATTATGACTTTGATGCTATTTTAAATGCCCAAAAATGATTAAATGTAAATTACTTCAATGCTTCATAAAATTTATTGTTCCTGAATTGAACTGAATTATTAAACTTTTTCATTGTGTTTATCTTTTTAACAATTATTTCAATACAAATTTTATACACTAAATATAACAACTATTATGGGATGGAGATAATAGAATATAAGTCACTTGGTATTTCAAAACCATTTATGATCTACTTGCATTAAGAAAAGTGTAGTTTAGGCTGCACTTTCACACATATAAATATATTCAAGTCGAGAGTCGGTCATTATCTTTTCCTCTTATCCTCATAATTTTCATGTTCTACAATCTTTTCATTCATATTACACCCCCCCCAATCATTAATATTTTGGCTGTAAATGTCTAACTTAAGTAGTTCTAGAGCCTTGTATTAGGTGAAACTTAGTATAAATAAATATTTGTGTGTGTATGTGTGTATATATATATATATATATATATATATATATATATATATAAGAAACTTACCTTGAGGAAGCTAAGAGGGTAGTTGCTTTTTTGGTCAAATTTAGTCTTCCTAATTTTAGCAACATAAGAACTAAATATCCAGTATATTTTATGTTTGTGTACTTAAACCAAACCACTATCCACACAAAGTAATTCTGTTTTGTTGAAGTTACTTATCTCTGGGAAAATATTTGCCTTTTATTAACTTTTTCTTTTTGCTAACCAATGTAAAAAGATGTGTATATGTTCTTTAGGAAATCATAAATATTTAAATTGATATAATTGAGCTAAATCCCAAAATGTTACATAATGTAATAGTTTGGTTGACAATTTGTTGCAAATGTATTTACTATAATTTAACTAAAGCTATAAAGAAGTTTATATTTTTCTTCAAGTTATTTTTAAGAAAAGTTATTCACAGCTCTCATTTATTATTCAAGGTAAAAAGAGACTATCCCTTTTCTTTATATTTTTCATATATATTACAAAAAATGTCTCTCAGCCTCTTAAGAGTAATCATTGCTTATTATAAAAAAGAGAAAATTTAATTTTATTGAACATTTCTTTTTTAAATGTGTTGTTTGTCTTTGACTTTTTCAGAACCATCTCTTGGGACGTGCTTACTTTTGTTTGCTGGAAGGTGACAAGATGGAGCAGGCTGATGCCCAATTTAACTTTGTACTTAACCAGGTAAATAATAAGCACTTGTCTGAAATGATTACCCACTTCAGTTCTTTTAGGGATCAGTGTTGAAATATTGTGATATTGATACTAGTGCAAATTTCACAAGTAAGCAAAATCTACATTTGGTAACCAATTGGAGTGGGTTTAACCTTGCAGGTTTAATGTAAAAGGCCTGTAAGGCCAATTTAGGTAATTTGGATTTTACAAGTAGACCTGAAATAATTACATATGATTTGGTTTATTGAAAATAAAATCCTAATGTTTGAAGAGGAGAAAAGTTTTGGAAAAAGAACCCTGAAGAATTTGAAGAAAGAAAATCTGATAAGGATATAAATATATTATTGTCTCTGTATGTTTGTTTTTTGCTTTTTTCTTTCTTTTGATAAAATCTATCACTTAGGTCAGTCAGTTACCTCTCCAGTTGAGATTTGTTTCCTTGTAACTTTAGTTTTTCCCCATTAAAGTTAAATCCCATGGATAAGATTGAGTACAATGCAATGAATCCACTAATGACAATCTCAAAAAAAAAAAAAATGGACTGTTTTGAAAAGTGAACAGAACAATGGTAAAATGTGAGGGTCCCAAAGGGAGTGTTCTGAAGGGGATTAGTGTAGCAAAGTGGCACCTTTAAAATAAGAGTGCAGTTAATAATAAATAAGTAGATTGATTTTACAAGACAGTTATTGTTGTGTAGTATTTTCTTGATATGGATAAGTTGGACAAGAGTAGGTGAGACAATATTTAGTGCACTCTCTGACCTGTTGGAAATGTTTGACAAGTTTTGTCAAATTAAAGAAGGATTTTTTTTTTTATTTAAGGCATTTGGAGCTGCATAGTGAAATAGTTGTTTTCATAAAGTGCCAATAAAAATTTGGATTATTGTTTAGTATGAATATACATGTAAAAAGTCAAAGATCTGAGACAGAAATGGGAAGATACTTTCAGCACTTCTTGTATGGAAACAGCAAATTACTTGGCCACATGCCATAGAACAAGTGTCAAACTGGTGGTTTGCAGGCTGTATGCGGCCTTTTACATGCATCTTGGCAGCCCTCACAAAGGTTTCTATAGCCATGGTACATTGAGAATTTTGTCTATGTTGGTAATTCAAATTATTAAAAACAGCAATTTTTTTTTTTTCAATTTGTATGATTAGATTGTTTATTCTATCTCAAGGATTTTTTTGTTTTTGAATGTCAGTAAATATTTTTTAACTTCTAGTTAATCATTTGATCATCCTTGACAATAAGAACAAATGTAAAGTGAAAACATTTGTAATTTTGTAATATTTTGCCTTAAAAATGTCAAATTCTACTCCATCTCATAAAAAGAGATGATTATCTGAAGGACATGTTTCATGAAAAGTGGGAATTGCCGTACTTTTATACCACTGTTAAAGAAAGATAAACTGTTTAAACAGCTAAAATTGTATGTCCAGGGAAGTCACACTTATTTCAAGACATTTCATTAAGCAGAAACACTGTTGCTGAATAGATTGATGAAATGGTAGGTGATTTGAGTTGACAGTTGAAGATTTTATCATCAAGTTTTGAACAGTTTTTTATTACTCTGGATGAGACTGTTGGCATAGCTGGAATAGCACAGCCTGCCGTTTTCATCGGGGCTTGTGACAATGAATTTCAAATTTATGAAGAACTAATTGAACTGGTCCCAATGCATGATACTACAACAAGCCAGGACATTTTTGAGAAAGTTGAACAGCTTCTCCATGAGTATGGCCTTGATTTGAGTAAACTTGTGTGGTTATCTACTGATGGTACTGCCAATATGGTTGGGACACATAATGGTGTTGCTGCCAAATTAGGTACAATAATAGAAAACATATCCAGATTCAACATTCAAGCATTTTCACTGTATAGTTCATTAACAGAACTTATGTTCCAAGATTTTAAAATTAAATCATGTGTTGAGTTTTGTCACAAAACAGTGAACTATATCAGAGGTTGTGCCCTGCATCACCATCAGTTTAGACAGTTATTGGAAGATGTGAATAATCAGTTCACAAATGTCCCATTCTACACAGAAGTTTGGTGGCTTTCATGTCACAAGGTACTGAACAAAAACTTTTTATTGTGAAACGAAATTGTTTTTGGAGATGAAGGGTCAAAGCACAGATGAATTGAAAGATGAAAGCTGTCTCCAAGATGTAGCTTTTTCAGTGGATATTACTGCCCAATTAAGTGACCTTAATTTGAAATTACAAGGTAAAAATAAGCTCATCACTCAGTTATATGATGATATCAAGTTTCATTGCAAAATTAGCTTTATTGAAGTCCCAGTTGTCACATGAAAACTTGATTTATTTCCTATGTGCAAGGAGTTGAAAAAACTGCCAATACTGAGTCTGTGTTTATCTTTGCTAAGTACGACAATTACCTGGAATTGCTGTCAAAGGAATTTCAGCAAAAATTTTGCGATTTTTTTTTTTTCATCTTGTGAAGATCAGTTTGCATTATTCTCGGCACCATTCACTTTTGATGTTGTTCAGGCAGAGGAAAATCTACTGATGGAACTACTGGACATGCAGACTGACTCAATACTAAGGGAAAGTACCTAGAAGTACAGGTACCCAGATTTTTTCATACCTTCCTCAGACATTTAAGAACTTCAGAAAGTTTGCTACAAAGATTATGGCGATGTTTGGTTCCATATGTCTGTGAGATCTTATTTTCGTTTATGAAGGCCACAAAAATGTCTCACAGAACCAGATTAACTGATGAACATTTGTCATCTTTGATCAAAGTGGGATCTACACACATATTCCAACCTGATAAATTGGGAATAGTTTAAAGCAATGTCAATCATCAGGACAACATAAAAATGATTAAATTGTATTACCTTGTAGTGTAAGTATTTAAATCTAGCTGTGATTAATGTAAGACTGTAAGCTGGTGTGGCCCTCGAGGCTGCAGATATGGCTGATGCTGCCCCCCATATGCCCTGAGTTTGACATGCCTACCATAGAGAGTCCAGACCTCCCAGTTTTCATAAGCCTTTTATCATGAAAATAAGTTTCGGCAGGGGAGATCATCTTAGTGAAAACAGAAGACCATTAACTATGAGAAAGAAACTATTGTCTTGACTCCCACTGTCTGGGTAGCACAATGTTATTGCACTAGGTAAACTATTTATTTTGTTAATATTAAGTAGCTGGTTTATTTATGGACATATCTTATACATTTAAAAAAAAATAATTTCATTATTTAAAACTTTTTCTCTTTTCAGTCAAGTAATAACATTCCCTCACTTCTTGGAAAAGGCTGCATTGCATTTAACAAGAAAGACTATCGAGGTGCTCTGGCCTACTACAAGAAAGCCTTGAGAACCAATCCTAACTGCCCAGCTTCTGTACGTCTTGGTATGGGCCATTGTTTTGTCAAGTTGAATAAATTAGAAAAAGCCAAGTAAGTATATTTCAAATGTTATTTTTTAATTTCTGTTTTAATGTTTTTGGGGTAGGATTTATCTTTATTTACATTTGAACTAATATCCTCATTTTTCTTGTTATTATCACCACATTTTAGCCATTGTGCCCCTCCCACTCCCAGCTTTCTTCAGGTGTCTTTTTGAACTAAAACCCATGGGTGTAAATTGTTCTCATTCCATCGCCCATGTCTGGGAATACCATATCTTTCTTTTAGTACTGCTCAATTATTGCTTGCTCTGTTTCTTTTTAGCCTGTACTATACAGCCTAAAAGTTGTACTCACAATTACTATACCATCAAATGCATGAACCAGCACTTTAATCCATCAGGCTATTGTCCCATGAACCTAGTACTTGGAACCTTAAACCTAATGTTCTTATTGCCTGCCTGTTGCTGTTACACTTGACCTCCTTTGCCACCTCTTTTGTTACTGCTGCTGAAGCCTTGCAATGTTCTCATGGTTTTGTCATAAATGAATGGAAATATTCAAGACAACCTTACTATAAAATGATAGCTAATGAGTTTGCTACTTGCTGAGTACTCTATCAATGTAACCTTGTACCGTAATAAGTTGATGTGCAATGTTATCAGTCCTGACCTGGCATCTCAGCTTCAGTCGCTTTCCCATCGCCATGACATAGTTTCCCCGTGCCTTTTCTATAAATATTTTCATGGCAATTGTTCTGACGAGCTTTCCTTTTTGATACCTAGACATCATGAATTTAAGTGTACTACTAGATTGGCGGCAAGGTCTCATCATTTTACACTTGAAATTACTAAATGTAACTGTACACATAAATGCTAACAGTTACTTCTTGCTTGTGGAACTTTTTCTGGCTTCTTGCGTTCTGGCCAACTTTGATCTTCAAAATTTTAAATGCAATGTCAATCAATATCTTCTATCATCTTAGTTCCTGTTATTTTATTGTTCTCTCTCCTTTATAATGTTTACTTTTTCTCATATTCTCTCACACTCAATAACACCTTGTGTCTTAGTGGCTTTATTGTCTTGTTTGTGGTGAAATGAGTGAAAAAATAAAACAAAAGATTATACATATTAACTTAAAACTTAATTATTCAATGTAAGATGTACATAAAAACAGTTCAACTTTTATCTTAAATAGTTTTTTTTTTTTACTTTATATGTGGAGGGTATTAGAAAGGCTTCAACAATTGCATAATTTTGAGATTTATCCATTACCAGAAATATTTTTTTATATCCCGAAACAAAATAATCATCAAATATATTCTGATTTGTGCTGTTTGCTTTTGTTTCTACCCTAAATTCCTTTTATTTGCTAAACCTTTCTATCTTGTTCCTGAAATTCTGTTTCATTTCAGGATGGCTTTTGAACGTGCTCTTACTCTTGACCCTCAATGTGTTGGTGCCTTAGTTGGTTTAGCTATTTTAAAATTAAATGCCAAGACTCAAGAATCAATCAAGACTGGTGTCCAGTTATTGTCCAAAGCTTACACCATTGACTCAACCAATCCAATGGTCTTAAATCACTTAGCTAACCATTTCTTTTATAAAAAGGTAATGTCTTCCTTTTATTTTTATGAATGAAATTTAGAAATTAAATGTTTTATATGAGTGTAAAAAAATTGAACTTTTAATATCAAGCCCATGCACCAATACAGTCAAATAAATTTTTTGAGTTTTAAAGTTGAGTATGAAATCTGAACATTAAGCTATTTACAATGTGTAGAAAATTGTTTGAATCAAGAATAAGTTTGTTTCTTAACATGATAACATCTTGATAAAAAGTTGTTTGTTACAAATATCTCAAAACTGATTGAAAACAGTTTTTGAATTCCATGATTATTCTTAAAGTTAGCTCTTTCAAATATAGTTAAAAAAAATGACTGAAAGTTTTTAAAAACTCTATGCCCTATAATAATTCTTTTACTTTTTTTAAAAAAACAGTAAATGAATTAAGAAAACTTAAATTATCTTTTCACATTTATTTTTTTGATGTATTAATACATTTTTTGTTCTTTTCCTAAGATTATCAAAGTTATTTTATTTATTTTTTTTGTTGTTGTATTAACTTTTTTTTTTCTTCTTTTTTTTTTTTCTTCTTTTGCTAGGATTATCAGAAAGTTCAGCACTTAGCTTTGCATGCATTCCATAACACAGAGAATGAAGCAATGAGAGCAGAGAGTTGTTATCAGTTAGCCAGAGCTTTCCACGTTCAAGTGAGTCTTTTACAATGAATTTCTGCCATATTTAGTTTGGTTATTTGTTAATAGGTTTTATTCTAAAAGTAGATTGTAAAAGGTTAACCAGGATTGGTTATTGTTTTGAGATTAAAACGGTCATGACGGCAAAAAAACAGGAAGCTGATTGTATTTTTTTTTTTTTTTTTTTTTGTTTTTTTTTTTTCTTTAAGAAAAAAGGAATCCATCTAACCAATTTTTTTAAAATAAAAATTGATGTCATCACTTTTTAAACATGTCTTTTTAACATTGTTGTAATAGTTTTTTTTATCTGTAAAAGAATGTTTGTTTATGGCAAGTTAATCAGTTATCAGTATTAAAATATGAGACTAATAAAACTATTTAGTCTCAATCATCAGAAAAGTGAGTTAAGTTAATCAATTTATCTTCAGGAAAATAAGGTCTAAAAAAATAATTGTGTTTGCATTGATAATATTATTATTAGTGATTATATAAAATGAAATGTTTTTCTTTTCTTTTTATTATTGTTTTTATGCTTCTTATTTCCTGTGTTCTTATCAATTATAACTTGAATTCTTTTCAGGGTGATTATGATCAGGCTTTCCAGTATTATTATCAATCAACTCAATTTGCTCCCAGCAGTTTTGTGTTGCCATTTTTTGGTTTGGGTCAAATGTACATTTATCGTGGAGACAATGAAAATGTAAGTTGAGAATTTTTTTTTTACACTATTTTAGGCATATAATTATTGTTTGTACAAAATAGTTTAACAAGCAAATCCCAAGTAGTAAAAGGAAACTCAAGATATGGTTTTGATCTTTGGTCCTGAAACAGAATATAAAAATATTTCTAGAAATTTAAAATCCTGTCTTGGAAAATTAGACTAATAGCATCAACTTGTAATCATTTTCTATTTTCCATAATGCAATTAGAGGATGGTTTAGAATGTAAGAAAACCATTTGCCTTTCCTTTTTAAACAGTTTTTTTTTACTCTTCCAAATATTTTATTTTGTCATTCATTGGATTTTGGTAAACATAACACTTATCACCTGATTTTTTTTTTTTTTTTTTTTTGTGACTTTTTTTTTTTTGTGACTTTTTATTTATGTGAATGCTAAATTATTCATTAGATATAGATAAATTGGTGTCTTTATTATGAAGGTTTGTCAAACAAAATCTTGTACTAGAATAACTTGTTTGTTTTACAGTTTTAATTAATACAGTTAATGAATAATTTGATCAGTTTGAATTAACATATTATCTTGAATTCTGGACAGTATAAAATTATTCATATTTTTAATTTTTTTTACATTATATGAGAAACTTGATTGTCAGAGATATTTTTTTTCTAAAGTATTTGCTACATCTTTATAAAATAATAAACCTTCATTTTATTTTTTGTCCTCTCAAAATTTTTTTTCTTTTAATTTTAAGGCAGCCCAATGCTTTGAAAAAGTTCTCAAGGCTCAACCCGGCAATTATGAAACTATGAAAATCCTTGGCTCTCTCTATGCCAATTCTGATGATGTATCTAAAAGGGACACAGCTAAGGTGAGATTTGCTTATAAAAAATTTCCCCCCAAAAAGTAAATTCTGATTTAAATTATAGAGACTTATCAGACCCTATAATTTATCCTTTTTAAAAATCTTTTTGTTTTTATTTTTCAGCAACATTTACGCAAAGTCACGGAGCAATTTCCAGATGATGTGGAGGCTTGGATTGAATTAGCACAAATTCTAGAACAAACCGATGTCCTCGTTAGTTATTTTTATTTATTTTTTTTGTCTTTTTTTTTTTTTTCCTTTAAAGATTTAATACAACTCAATCTTAAACCAAATGCTCTGGATTTTCTTTGTGCATGCACACACACACACACACACACACACACACAGTGTCAAATTTTATTATGCAAGATTTCACAAAATTGGTAATGACCAACTAATATTAGTAAAATTTTGATATTTTATAAATATGTGAATTCCCTCATGAGATTTTAGAGATATTTAAAAATATATATATATATATAATATGAAATGGACTAAGTTCGACAATTATTTTAATATATTTATTGGTTATACATTATTTTCATAGATACAAATATTTAAGTAAATGCTCTCTTTATAATAAACAGTATTAACAACATTTACTGGCCTGAATGTCTGAGAAATTTCAGAGAAAATGTGTGTCTTCTGTATCCTACATGGAACCATCATGTGGCTTGACGTGCTATACCATTTAGCTACAGAGGAAGCAATTGGTTAGCAAAGTCGAATTACTGTTTTTATTTTCATGGGAAATTTGTAGTTTAAAAACAGTGATTTGACCATGCTAATTCTACATTAGATTTTTAAACAAGAATCTCTTGTACCTGTATCTTTTATTTATTTACGTATATTGTTTACGTGCATCTGTGTTTTATTTTGTAGATTTTTTTAACTTATTAAGTTTTGTTTTTTGCATTCAGAGTGCTCTCTCTGCATATGGAACAGCCACAAGAATTCTTAAAGATAAAGTGCAGGCTGATGTTCCTCCAGAAATTCTCAATAATGTTGCAGCTTTACATTTCCGGATCGGTAATTTCATGGAATCAAAAGTACGTTAAAATATTTCTGGAGTATATTTGCAGAATTAGTCCCTTATCGTCTCTGTAAAAATACTTTTCCTTTTACTTTATATATGCTTTCTCAATGTTAGTGATTGCTTTTTTTTTTTTCTTCTATGTATTTCAAAATTTTGTTTAAGTCATAGGACACATTATACTTGGATTTTTATAAAATACACAGCAAAGAATTATTTTTTCCAATTTTATATATAATAAATTTTTAACAACTTCTGAGATATTAGTTTAAGGGCATAATAAACTCTGTAAATAAGACATTAAATAAAACTTTATCATCACAAATTAACAGAAACTCAAACTGATTTTCATAAATTATATTTGAAATAGCATGATGATGATATAGTTCATGGTTAAAATGCTCCAACTTTTTTTTAGTGAAAATTTGCAAAATAGTTATACTTTAATATTTATGAAAACTGCTCTTCAATATTTTGTTTCAGAAATATTATGAGGCCTCGTTGGAACGTTCTCGTCATGAAGCTCAGCACGATGAGACTTACTACAGTGCCATTTCTGTTACAACTACATACAACTTGGCTCGTTTGTATGAAGCCACCCATGAATATGACAAAGCTGAAAAGCTTTATAAAAACATTCTACGTGAACATCCTAACTATGTTGACTGTAAGTTTTTTTTGTTTTATACTTATACTTGCCAGTATTGTAAATTGTCGTCTTTCTTGTCCGCTTTATAGCTGCTTATAGTTATCAGAAAGAGGATACATATAGAAATTTTAGTCTTTAAATAAATAAGTTCATATAACTTTTGCCAATAACAAATTTAGTGAAAAATTCACCTATTAGATATTTTTCTCTCTCCTGTTTGGAGAATTTTGAAATTTTCTGAGATTCTTAATCCCTAAAATCAGTCTGTTTTATTCCAATCTGTTTATAAGCAGCTGTTGGAGAAACTTTCTTTTATATCAGAGCAATTATGTGTACAAAAATACCACGTCAGGAATCGTACACAATTGACTATGTATTTATAACCTGTAGTGAATTCCAACAAGCACAAGCCAAAAACTACAGAGCCAATAACTTAGAACTGTTCAAAAATACAGAACCAAATGAGATTATGTATGTTTGTAAAATAAATTGGCCTCTATAATAGAATATAAATTTATGATCAATCTCTGTACAGTTTATACTTGAAAAAGTCGTTCAATCTATTTTTAAGGAAAAAGTTTATTACAAGCTCTTTATGCAAAAATCATTGTTTATATAATTTATATTTATCCTAAAAATTAATGGAATATTCATTTGCAAAAAAAAACAAAAAAACAACAATTATTCTTATGCAATTCAAAAATGGTTCAGCTTTAAATAACCCACAAATGGTTGACAAGCTGTAAAACAATATGGATAATGAAACTGGATTCTTAATTTCAACAAAAATCAACAAATAAGGCTTAAGCCTAAGATTTTCAGTGATATATTTTCTTAGTTGATAAGATAAACCATTTACTAATGCATGTCCTACAAACTGAATGAAGAGCTTGTGCATTTATTAAGCACAAGCTAAAGATTAGTTTCAGTTTTGCTTTTATATAATTTGTGTAAATACAGGTATGTTATTTAAAAGTTGAGGTTGTCAATCAAATGCTTGCCATCAAATTTATCTAAATTTATGTATATTATACATAGCTACAAATTCGAGTGTGTGAGAAATGATGAGGTCTTAGAGAGGCTGCAAACAAGGAGGAGGCTTATACTTAACATCAGGAAGAGGCAGCTGAAGTTCCTGGGACACATAACGAGGAAGGAGAGCCTGGAGAATCTGATACTCACAGGTCAAATAGAGGAAAAGAGAGACTAGGGAAAACAATGCATGACATACCTTGCAGCCTTAAGCAAATGGATGACAGAACATGGTCTGGGGGAGGTGGCAAAGGAACTTGTTAAGAACTGCAAGGGATAGAAGAAGGTGGAGAGCCATGATTGTCTATGTCCTGAAAGGACATGGCACATAGAAAGAAAAGAAAAAAAGAATAGTTCAGTTTAACTTGGTTTGTGGATTTTATTGATTTCAAACAGTTCAGATATTAATTTAATGGTTATTGTGATCATTGATTGAATATGATGGATTGTTGGCTGAGTGTTGTTAATTTGTTGACTAAATATTCAGACACAAGTTGGAATTTCACTGGATTTGAGTTGACTTGCTTTTGGTGAAGTAACTAAGTTATGCATACTTAAGTGTGTGTCATAGTGCAGTAACAGTGCTTACACTGGAACTTTGAAATAATGGTAGGGTTTTCTTTAGACTTGATAATTTATTTAAAAAGTGTGTGGACATATATTAGCAAGCACAAAGAATTTTTAATACTTTTTCAAAATGGTAGAAAATTTTTTTGTTTTTTAAATAATTTTCTGTAATGGAACTTATTGTTAAACTACATAGAATATAGGAGTGAAATTTATAGGTGATCTAAATATGCTATAAATCAGGGAATTCTGTGTATGTGTTATGATTTTTTTTTTAAATATATAATTTTTTTTTTTTTTTTTTTTTTTTTTAGTAAATCATATCTATTTTCTTAGTAAATCATATCTATTTTCTTGTCACTGAAGATTTTGATGATATTTTTATTCATACAAATATAAATTTTTAATATATTTATATAAATATTTTGGTATAGTATAACTATTGTTTTGAGGGTTTATTTGCTTCTAATTCCTTTTCCTCGTTCATGCAGGTTACCTAAGATTAGGTTGTATGGCTCGTGATAGAGGACAGATTTATGAAGCCTCTGATTGGTTCAAAGAAGCTCTACAGATTAATCAGGTAAATTACTGTAATTCATTATATTGATATTCATTAACATTTCAAAATGTTCTCCCTGCCCTCCTACTCCTTCCCTCTTGTTTGTTGACATTCTGTTTTTAATCTTTGAATTTTTCTTATTTTTAGGTTCACCCTGATGCTTGGTCTTTGATTGGAAATCTTCATTTGGCCAAACAGGAATGGGGTCCAGGGCAGAAGAAATTTGAACGAATTATCCTGAGACCCAACACTAAAGATGATTCTTATTCCCTCATTGCTCTTGGCAATGTTTGGTTACAAACTTTGCATCAGCCAATCAGAGATAAAGACAAAGTAAATAGTTTTGCTCATCATTCTATCATTTTCATTAGTAGGTTTATTATTAAATTTCCAAAACATCTGTGAATAGGATAAGTTATTTTATAAATTTATAAAAATGTCCCCTAAGAAATAATTTCTGTTTAAACACACTTGCCCACCAACACTGTTGTGTTTTTCTTTCCCCACCAAAAAGATGATGTTCTAAAATTAACATTTCATACATTGTACTGGTAAAGAACATTTTTAACTGAATTAACTTTAAAACAACTTAATTTATAAAGTCATCAGTGCTGCTACTCCACAATATAAGATCATCATTTTGGAGTTACTCTGAATGATTTTTAGTAACGTTCATAGCTTAAAAGTGTATATATCTAAATGTCCCGATTTTGAAAAAAAAAAAAAAAATCATAATTTTTAATTATTTAATTTGTGTGTAATTTAAAACATTACATAGTGGAGATAATGAAACAGAGTGGAAAAGCTTGTACAAACGACACATTTTGCTTATTTATAGCAGGGGTGCTCAGCTTGGAGAGACAAATCCTGTGTGGAAAGGATAATAACTAACCTCAGTAGACATCTGACCTAATAAATACCATTTTGATTAGAGAGAAGAGAATTTGCTAAGAGGAAAATACATTGAAAGTGCACTGATTTCACAATTTTCTACAGTCAACTTCAAACTGGACTCTCATACCATATCACCAGACATCACAAGTGCTATAGTAGCAAAATGTGGTATATGATTTAATCTAGTGGATGTCAACAGCTTCAGTACATTAAAAAAACAAAAAAACAACTTTCTTGTTGTGGCATCTGATAATGTCATATATTACCCCTTCCTCAAAGCACTTTCCTTACAAGCAGGATTTGTCTCTCCTTCCAACCTGAGGACGCCTGCCTTAATGTGGTGAAATCCATTGTCTGTACAAGCTTTTCTTCTTTGTCTCATTATTTCCACTTTTGTTGAGATATTCTACATTCTAAGAAACCCATAGAATCTTACATTTAAGTGATATAATAAATTAACAGATTAATAAATAAAAAAATCCATTACTTTAGAAATTGCTTTGCATATGTTTGGATACGAAACTGAGCTGATATGAAATTTTGAGAGTCTATAATGAAAAGGATTTAGCTTAATGACCTTGCTTGATCAGCAAAGGTTCTTTGTGTCTGAGTCTGTTAAAGCACATTAGATCTAATGATGGTTCCTTCTGTCCAGGTTCAAATCCTGCTGGATAGCATATATTTTTCTTTAATTTCTTCAATATTCAGGCTGGTAGATGAAAATAAATATATATACTGTTTAATAAATAAATGGAGCTTCTACTCAAATATGAGTATCCACTAAAAATATAAAATGACAAAATCTGTTGAATTAATAAATAAAAAAAAATCCATTAATTGTTTAGAAACATACATTTAAAAAAAAATGTATTCACATTTGTAATTTAAGTTCTTAAGCCTGATATTTCCAAACTGAAATAAGAGCAAAATATTAATTAAAGTTGTTTGGGTTTGCATCAGTTCATATTAATTATTAGTAACTTTATTGTATTTACCATTACTTAGGATTTTAATTTATGTGTGTTGATTATCTGTTTATGCCTGAAATAGAAAGAAAATGTTAATTTCTTGATAGAATCAATAATCATTTCTCAGGAATCAATGGGTCCTATTTTTAATCCAACATTTTCATTTAGAGTAATTAGAATCAATAATGAAAGTACAAATTTTATCAACCTGATTTGAAATTTAAAAAAGAAATATTGTATGCCAATAAATATTGGTAAAATGTGGTTGGGTTAGTATGATCACGTGCATATTTAATTTTACTTTGATGGCAGCCTGAATTTATGGATGCCTTTTCATTTTCAGGAAAAGCGTCACCAAGATCGCGCTTTGGCAATGTACAAACAAGTGCTACGTAATGATGCTCGAAATATCTGGGCTTCCAATGGAATTGGTAAGTTTACAACTACTTTGCATTCTTTCTTCCTTTTATTCATTACTTATTTATTAATCCCTTAATGCCCACATTCCCCAAAATGGAATGATTTGCATTAATGAATTCTAGATAAAAACCTATAATTAATAATTTCTAACTGAAACGATATGATAATGACAACAAAAATTTGAACTAGTCTAATTGTAAATAACTTTCATTAATACTGGATTTTTTTTAATGGTTTAAAAATCCTCATCCAATTTCTATGCTGCTTTACTCTATACTCATTTAGTTTTTATCTACATTGTTTGGATTGTTGTCCTCATCTATTGTCATATTCACAACATTTCTGCCATTGTACATTTTGTGATGTTAACGAATACTCATTGTCACTTTCGTAATGTTCATTGTAGTAGAGACTTTGTAATTGCAGATACAACTATAGTACACCGTTGAATAATGCTAGTGTCAGACACCTTCAAATAATCTTGCACTAATAGTACTTGCTCGATAATACTTGCTTGAATAGTAAGCCATATAGTGAATAGAGTATAGAATAGTGGCTGTTTAGTATAAAGGATAGACTAGAGAGCAATCATTTAGATGTCCCGCTACTACCTCCTATTCCTACATAACGATACACACTGGCCTTCAGGTGATATACATTGGAATTTCAAACCCTTTATTTTGTCCTCCATGGTAGATTGTTCTAGTTCCACATACCATGCTTTTTTTGGATATCTCTGTTTCAGTTATTTCCCTTTAGTAACACAACTCTCCAAATTTTTTTTGTTCACCTCTGTTGTGGCCAGGTATTGAAATCCCAAAACTTTAGGTTGTCACCGGATTACTTCAACCAACACTTTTATCTACATGGTCCCAGTGGGCAAAATAAAGGGTTCAGTTCAAAATTCCAATGTATATCACCTGAAGAAGTCTGGAGCATACAACGGCCAAAATGTGAATATGACAATAAAGATGAGGACAACAGTTCAAACAGTGTAAATATAGATACCTCCACGAGATCGCTAAAAAAGAGTATAGCATGATGAAAAAATGCTTAAACTTGATTTAAAACAAAAATTTTATCGTCTAAATGTTTTTTATTATTAAGAGGAAAGATCAAAGTATTTTTGGGGTTTTTTTTTTCCATTTTTTAATCATTCCTAGCACGTCAGAAATTTTCGTTAAAAATCTAGTTTTTTTTTTTGAGTCAGTAAAATTGACCATTTTTTTTTCCATTTTAAAAAGAAACTGGAAATCTCACTTTGAAATTCTTTTAAATATCAATTATCATTTTTTCAAAACTTACTTTAAGAAAATCAGAAATTATAATGTTTATTTAAAATATTTTGAACCAAACTTAACTTAGCTTTTGTGCCAAAAAGATGTAATTTGAAAATAAAACAAAGCAGGTCATAAACTTTCACATCTCTTGACAGGTGATGAATGACATATTTACAAATTCCATGAGGCTAATTTGTTCTACGGAAGGAGAAAAGTGAAATAATTTACATTTAAGTGAACAAATTTTTTACCTCGTTATTTTTAACAAAAACTTTCAGCGGTCTATTTTTTTTATTTATTTATTTTTTTTTTTTTTTTTTTTGTACTTTGCGTTTATGATGCTTTATGGAAAATATATTCTAAAGAAATTAGAATAAGACTGTTAAGAGTGACATTAAATTTCATATTTCCTAAGAAAGGTATCTAATTAATTTATAGGTACCTTTCTTATGAAATTTTATCAGAACTGTACATAAAATACTATAATTTTATGTACATTTATTACATTTTACTGTTATTTGTATTTGCATTCATTTTATTATGAATTTTGATATTTCATTTATGGAAAAATGTTATAACTGAGATTAATATAAAAATAAGATCATATAAATTACATAAGATGATACTGATACTTGTAGGTACCCTTCTCAGTTGGAATTGAAAAATTAAATTAACTTTTCCACACGGGTTTCGCAAAAGTAAAGGCCTTAACAGCGGAGAACAATGCTTAACTCAAATAACGCAACTTAATTATGTTCTGGTTGGTCTTCCGTACTTTATAATTACAGCCCGGTTATAAGCACAAAATTACATTTCTTAAAGTTAGTTAAAATGATACAATTTACAACGCGCTAAAAAAGATCTATCTAATAAGGACACTTAGGAAAGCCGATGCAGCTTTTAACTAATTTTATAATATTTTTACAACTTAAATGTAAAATCTATTATAATTAAAGAAATAACAAATAATTGTATTAAAAATTCATTTTTCATTGAAAAAAATATTTGGCTTTAAGAAAATATTGTCAATATTCAAAAAAACAACTAAAAGCAAATAAAAGCATTTGAAATTAAATAATATCTTTGTTTTATTGAGTTTTGTATGTTACAATTCAGAGCTGATTTTCAGGTACTGCAGATCCAATTAAAAACAAAAAAAAAGCATGATTTGCATTCCTCAAAGCCCTGTGCTTTTAATTATTGTAATCACTAAACCCGATGCGATCGAATTTCTAGCGTTTTCATAAAATTAGTTGGGGGGTAATAAATATTTAAAAAATATTTCTACCATGACTTTAATAAAAAAAACATATTTATAATATCATCTGTGAATAGTTTCTGAAAGTTTCATTAACATCCGACAATTATTTCTATTTTTGCACGATTTTTCAAATTAATGTGTGTCATACCAAAAAAATGTGCTAAAAATTGTCTGTTATATACTAGTTCCGCTGATACAAATAGAAACAAGGTTTTTTAATCAAAATTTAGAATGTTCTAAAAAGAAGGAAAAATTTTTTAAAATAATTTAAAAAAAACTTTGGTCTTTCCTCTTAATAATAACATAAACATTTAGACAATAAAGTTTTGTTTTCGGCAAGGTTGGCGTCTTTTTCATCAAGCTATGCTCTTTATTTTAGCGATTTCGTGGAGGTACCTATGTAAATAGTTACAATACCTCATCTCGGAAATATAGACAGATGATTTAGTTTCTGTTACTCTATATCTACAAATCTTCATCTGTTTGTATCTGGATTAAACAAGGCATGTTTTTTTTTTGTTTTCACTTATGTATATCTAAATCTTAATTTCACTAATATCTAGTATAAAGAATAAAAAAGAACTGGATTATTATTATGAGTATTAATAAATAATTCCAGTAGCTGTGATATTCTTTGAACAAAAGAAAAAGAGCCTCAGTATGTCTGACTTTTTATTTTGGGCTTAGGTCATTATCCATCAAGTTTTCCTATCTAAACTGTAAGCATTCCACTATAGAATAATATTACTAAATCGATAAAAATATTTACCAAATATATATTTGTGTCATAATTTGTAAGTTTTATGAAGTCAGCTTAAACAACAAGTGCATAGATATTTCGTAAATAAAGGAGACAAAAAATATATAAAAAAAAAGAATGAAAGGAAGATCGATTATTGAAATATTTAGATTTTATTTCTAGTACTGCATACAAGAACAATTTAATTTATTCATTTTTCAATAGATTGGATATGACAGTCAAAAATAAAGGAAAAGATAATCACTTATTTTAACACGTTTTGTTTTTTGTTTTCTGGAGTTGCATTTCAGAGATAGACTGAAATAATTTACCTGTATGACAAAAAAAAAATGAAATAGAAATGTTTGTTTTTTACATAATATGGCCAAGAAATGAAACTATTGACTATCTTTCTTTTTTTTTTTTTTTTTTTTTTTTTTTTTTTTTAATATAGGTTGTGTCCTTGCCCACAAAGGCTGTATCAATGAAGCTCGTGACATTTTTGCCCAGGTGCGTGAAGCGACAGCTGATTACTGTGATGTGTGGCTCAACATAGCTCACATTTATGTTGAACAAAAACAATATGTAGCTGCTGTTCAGATGGTAAGTTGATAAAATTTTTGTTTAGCTCAATTTTTCATGTCCTTTTACAGATTTTCTATTTATTTTCAAAGAATAAGACCTGAAAAAAAATGCAAATACTAAAGTTTTTGTACATATTGTTGACACACAAACACACACACACACATACATACATACATATATATATATATATATATATATATATATATATGGTAGTGCTGAAATTGACCATTTCAGTATAGGAAACATTCAGCATTCATAAACCCACCAGTTACTTTCGGTTGAAATTTATAAAATCTTAAAGCTTGCTTTTTTTTTTTTTTTTTTTTTTCACAAAATTCTCGATTCTACTGTTAACTCTGTTTTCAGTATTAATAGGAGTTTCCTTGCAAACCTTTTTGTTTTTGGTAGTGGAATGTTAATAGCTTATGTCATTATTTTCTCTTTTAGTGTCATGTACTACCTATTTTTTTGTTGATTCTTTGGGAAGTTTTCAACTGATGTGGTTTTATTTGATAAAGCTCTTTGTGATTTTGTTGTACTGGGATCTGGTGAAATATTGTCATCTCTTAAGACTGAAGACTTGAAGGATTTATTTTCTACAAGCCATTTTTAATTGTGGATCCAAACTGCATTTGTCAGCATATAAAATGCACAGTTAAATAAAACACTATTGATGCAGATATCACACTTTGTTCAATGCTTGGGTATTATAATTGTATTATGATTGGTATACCCAAAATACATATGGGAACCCTGTTTTATAGACCAACAAATGCTGTGTGTGTGTGTGTGTGTGTGTGTGTGTATATATATATATATATATATATATATATATATATATATATATATATATAATTTCAAAAGAATTATGTTGTTACTTTGAATGATAACTTCATTTTTCTTTCTTCCACAGAATGATTTTGATTAGGAGTAGGGAAAATTGTGATACAACACATGATTTACATATTTTTTTAAAAATTTTTTAACTATTACAGTAAGTATGTTCCAGAACAGCATTACTAATGGAATATAATATGCCTTCAATTCAAATTTGAAACTGTATATTTTTTGTAACAGTTTTTGTCTCTGTTTCATTCTTAATTTTCCTTTGGTTATTCTTTTGAATTTTTCTGTATTGCAGTATGAAAATTGTTTACGCAAATTCTTCAAGCATCACAACACAGAAGTACTCCTTTATTTGGCCAGAGCTTATTTCAAATGCAATAAACTCAAAGAATGTAAACAGTTATTGTTAAAGGTAATTTCTCCAATCTTTTCTTTTTTTTTTCATATCGAAAAACTAAAATGATCTTATGCGTATTTAAAGTTTTAATGCATACAATAAATATTGTTTTTTTTTTTTTTTTGTTTTAATAGTAAACTCCATATGTAAACCTTATATTCTTCCCTATAATTTACAGACTTATAACAAGCAGCAAAATAATTTTATTTATAGTTACTAGTTATGTTATTGAATGATCCATATGGTTGTTGGCATACCAAAAGATTCTATTATATTTGAATAGTAAGCTTGGTAATTAATAAGGTAGTTTTATAAACCAATTGCAAAGTGGGTGCTGAAAACTTCTTTGTCCATCCCACTTCCCAGAATCAATATTGTGATGTTTGATCATTTGATCATTAAAATACTAATCAAATGAGCTTAAGATTTTCAGCGCCTCTTTGTACAATGATTTGTTTCTGAGTCTTCCAAGAATATTGCCATGTCTTAGTTATTCTACCAAATATCTATCCAATCATTAATATAGATTTTTTTTTTTTACTGTTTTTGTCTTTTACTAATAACTCATCATTTGTAACTTAAACATTTCTAATATTGTATTTGCAAAAATAATAAGAAAGTTTAATTTGAAGACAACCTTTAAAAACAAAAAATGGTTAATTTCTTTCATGTCTTTTCTTTTCTTTATTTCCTTGTCAGGCTCGCCACGTGTCTCCAAATGACACCGTCCTACTGTACAACATTGCGTTGGTGCAACAAAAATTGGCCATGTCCATCTTAAAAGATGAGAAGAGCAATCTGAAGGCTGTGTTGAGTGCAGTGGAAGATTTAAAACTTGCACACCGGTAACATTCATTCATAGGATTTATAATTATTATTACAGATATTCAAATGTTGTTTGGACATCTGGTTCTTATTCCAAATAGAGAATATTAACAAATCATGGAAAATCTTGTCCCATATTATTAGAAAGAAATTTCCCTGCAGATAATAATTTATAAAAATCATTTGATCCTTTCTGTAGATCTTCTGTATTTGTTAATCTATAAGATGCATGTTTTACAAGGATATTTGAGGGACTACTGCTTTTTTTTAACTCACACCCGTAGCTGTCTATTTCAAGTCTTATGTGTAGGCAGAAATTTGATTGGTCATTTTTGTTGAAGACTGAATACAAACTTTAGTGTTCTGTCTTGTAGATTACATGTAGATTATGTTCTTCTTTTGAAAGTAAAATTATCATCAATATAGATAAAATAACTTATATTTTTTCTTCAGTGTATAATGTTTCACTTCTCTTTACAGATATTTTACATATTTAAGTCAACATGGTGATCGCATGAAATTTGATTTAGCCCAAGCAGCTGTTGAGGCTGGGTAAGTTATCTTCTTTGCTGAGTAGCCTCTAATATTATCACTATTACCATAGATGATCAAATCTTAAAAAATAAACTAATACAGGAATAACTCAGAGATAATGAGTTCAATTCCAGACGACTGCAATAAAGTGAGTCAGTTTTTTGGTCAAGCAGTGTATACAAAACTTATATTTACACTTGTTGAAAATGAAGGTTATTACGATGGGTTCTTTAAAACATTGACAGTTGCCAGCATATCAACACAAACTTAATTTGTACTGTCTCTGAGTTTTGAACTCTGTGACTGTCCTTTAGTTATCATCTGCCCAACCTAAGCTCACTCTTGTTTCATCTGGGACAGCCATTGAATGTTTTTTGGTTACTTCCATCGAATGCCAAATGCTGTTCTTTATTACAGCACTATACAATAAAAGAACTGAGGGTCAAGGCTTTATAAAAACTTTCAAACTTTTTAAATATAGCAAACATTTTTATGTCCGTATAATATACATTGGTAACAAACTACCAAGCAGTCACAAATTATAAAATGAGAAATTAAACTAACAATGCTATGTGGTAGGGCAAAAAAGGTTCTCAACCTGATGATCAAGAAGCCTTTCCAAAGAAAATTTTGTCATTTGATCAGATGTTGGGAACTGAGTCTGATCAAGAATTTTTCAACAGCTTATTTTATCTCCTAATCTCTCCAACTATCATGTATAACATATGTATTTACAAATCTATAATAATGACTCCTAAAGTTGATTAACTTTGTAGTGTGAAAAGAAAGAACATATTGAAATTGGGTAGCAAAATTGAAATAGGAAAATAGAATTTGAGACTATGAAAGCAGCTTTAAATCAAATTTATCGGGACCAAAGCATCTACTGTAGAAGATGACGTTATTCAATAATAAAGATGAATCTGACTTTGTGACTCTTGGTGGTGCTTATGGCAGCCAGTACCAAAAGTGACATGTTTATGCTGATAAATCTAATGGTGGTACTGTTAACAGATCTTTAGGAAAACTGAATCCATCTTTTAATGGATTTATATAACGGTACAGATTTTGTGATTCTAAATACCACTGAATTCAGGATTGTCTATGCACTCTTGCAATGAAGCGCAATTAAAAATACCTTAATTAGTATCAAAATATGACACAGAAATAAAGTGAGTAAATCTGATTGGCAAAATGGTATTTATTTGCTTCATGCTCTTGCTACAAACCATCAATTTATAAAGCAGGTACGATATTAGCAATAAAGTGAGTTTTGCCTTTTGTATGTTTTCCATTCTTTTAGCGAGTCAGATACATCCCATTTTTAAGATATTTTGGGATCCCGAGTTTTGTAAAAAAAATCTTTTAGATTGTTTCTTATTTTCTCCCCTATAGACAATGTCATGATTTACTGAGCCAGGCTCAGTATCATGTGGCCAGGGCAAGACAGATTGATGAACAGGAAAGAGAAGTTCGCAAACAGCAAGAACAAGCAAGGGAGGCTCTGCACCAAAAGCAACAACAGATTATTGTGAG